TGACTGCACAGAAAGGGGAAAAAACCCACATAAACCAGCATTATTTGATCAGTGGGGGTTACATAAAGTGAAGCGGCTTTTGAGGAATCAAGGGAGAATCTTTTTTTGGTGACTAACAGGAATGCTGCCTTCTTCTCCAAGGCTAAGTAGATCAGGTTTCATCTCGCAGCATTTGACTAACTCAATCTTGGGATGCAGAGCCTGAAGTCAAAACCAGTACCGAATCCTCTAAAGGTTTGTGTCTCAGGAAGGCGGAGGTTTATACCTGAAGTTGCTCACTGGGGCATTTCAAGAAAACCAGAGCTGTTCAGAATTAGCAGGATAATGCAGCCTAATACTGCAGCGGCACCAGAAAGAGATCAGTACTAATAACTGAAGGTTGTTAATGTCAGCATGTCTGCCTGAAGGTAGGGGAGACAGAAAATCACAGGGGTAGCCTTACAGTAGCTGGTGGGCAGCTTCCTTGTCAGTCGTATGCATCTGCCTCTGGTGAAAGTGTAAGATCCCAGCATATCTCTGAGGAAAACCAAAGGGAAATGAGACGGATCATCAGTGAAAGGACAGGTGTTACAAAACAGCCCCCCTCACCTGCTGCCTGTAAGCTGGCAGTTTGGTGTATGAGTCTGCAGCACAAGGGCAGTCTGTAGGAGTCCTTCGTTAGGTCAGCAATAACTTTCTACTTTGGTGAGTAATCGGTTTTAATCAGGTGGCACTGTGTGATGTGTCTCAGGAAATGGAGGTGTGTACCTGAAATTGCTCAGGATGAGAGGCTTTCCTTAATTTTTTTTTTAACTGCAAGGGATGCATGTAGAAAACTACATAAAATGGGAAAAAGCAAAGTGAAGCAAGTTGTTCAAGTCGGGGCCTCTGGTAGCTGGACACCTGCTGTTCTGCCAGGCTGCTTTTACTGTCTGCCCTTGTGTCAATACCCCTGTAACACTCAGGCATCAGTCCAGTTCTGATTCTGAATCTTCTGGCTTCTGTTCATTTAAGATACAGTTACATTTTTGTATGTTATTAATAACGTGTTGTACTTTACACAGTGACATTTTCTTAGCCTCAAATAGTCTTTGTGTTCCTTGAATCACTTTTTAAAGGCCGCAACTGTGGATGGTTGGTTGATTGGTTTTAACTGGGCCAATCTCAGGAGAAAAATCAAGCCCTTGCGAAAGAGGTTTTATTTTACTACCAAGAGGCTGGATACAGCCACTTTCAGAATCGAAACCACTTTGTTCTAAGTCTGATTCAGCAAAGTCTTAAGCGTGAGACACTCTTCAAACCCAGGGGGGTCGTGAGGTTGACTGCAGCGTGGCTGCTGGGCAGCTGCTCAAGGATGTTGCTGAATTAAAGGTTTCAGACTTAATCCTGACTTCTTATCAGAAGGGATACTAGTAGAACACAGTAGCATTCTGTCTGAGTAGCAGTGGCAGGAGTTACAGTCCAGATGGAGACCTTGCTAATCATTCTTCTGCCATGGCGTGAGTGAAGACAGCTCTTGACACTACCACGCCGATCCCAACAGCCCATAGGCTAAGTGATGTACTCTAGAAACTGAGAGGAACAGATAGGGCTACTGCACTCATTGGTTTTTTTGAGTTGATGGGTGATGAGTAGCTGGTGGGGAAACAGAAAAGAAAAGGAAGAGTCCTTGTGTTAAATCTGTGATTTTTCGCATACAGAGTTCAGGTGTCAGGCAGCCTAAGGGGAGAGAGACTGTTTATAAACCCACTCAGTGTAGGAATCTTGGTTGAATTCTTGTGAAACCATCAGTTATCAGCTATGTGCAAGGCTTATTAAGATATGGAAGTGGCTCAATATTTTGCCAAATCCCGGATCCATGTGATAATTTGACTTGCTGGCACTTAGCAGTCAGTATTGCCAAGGTCAGTGGAAAGAAAATAATGCCTCATACCTTCCTCCACCTCAGCTGAATGTCTTGTACTGGATTAAACAGCGCATTTGTCAGAAAACTATCAGTGTACTTTGAGCTCATCGATGCATTGGTGTTGTCAGGGCCATCCACCATTCAATACCATCTCCATTTGCAATGAATATTTGACCCACAGTCATCTTTGGGAGAGGTATCCCTGGAAAACACTTTCAGCTCTCATCTGACAGCATAAACATGCTTTTCGGGGGGAGATGGGTTTTTGGTTTGTTTTTTTCCCTAAGGAAAATTCAGTTCCACATTTGCTAAAAGAAGCTGGTTACTAGTGGTCCTTTGACATACTCAAATCTGAAATGTTCGGAGCTGAAAGTGTTACGGTAAAGCAGTCCTGTTGAGCTGTGTGCTTGGTGTTTATTGTTGGTGTTGATGTCGCTTCCTTTTTCCATCCCCAAGAAGAAGAACCAGTAGAGAGTCTGATGGCTGTGGAAGCGAAACCTACTGCTCTTCCTGGGAAGCAAATGGGGAAAGAGCACGGGCCCGTTGCGCCTTCGGACCAGGCAAAGGGCCTCTGTGAGGGTCAGTTGGAGTCTAGTTTGGAGGCCAAAGTGTGTCGTGAAGACCAAGTGCCAAGTGTGGCATCCAGCAGGGAGAGTGTAACCGTTGTGGCGGAAACGCCCCTGAGAGACACGTCCCCTTCCTTGGCTGAGGAAGGTGTGTCCTCCTTAGGTTTGCATGCCTTTGCTGCCGGTGAACCCTCCTCCAGCTTTCTCCAGTGCTTTCCAAGGCTGCTTCATTTCCCGTTCTTCCCATCTGTTAGTACGACTGCTCTTGTTATTACGCTTGAAGAGTGTGCAGCGGATCCTGTGATTGCATAGGGGCTGTATGACAACATGGTTTCCCACCACTGCGGCTGATTCCTGGTTTTTTTACTTTGCCATGATAAAATGTGCTTTGCGGCTAAGCTGATTCCTCTGCATAAGCCTTTTTCCCCCATCTCGGATGTGTTTGCCAGTCACATTGCTAATCTATGTATATTTTTTTCTTTTTGGTGCAGAAATTCATCTGCTTTTCTTTCAAAAAAGTAGATTTATTGGCTTTGACTATGACATAAAGAGGCTTAAAGTGTAGAAATGTTTTTATTTGCGGTGTGCAGGTGTTCCGTTTGGTTGTTTTGGGGTTTTTTTTGTGTACGTGTGTGTGCTTCAGCGCATTCTGGTTTACCTTCCCTAAAGCTATCGCTTCTTACATCATACCCTTGCCATTCTTTGCAGTCCACCCCTCCTCTCCTTGATCATTGCCAGAACTCTGATTTTTTGTGTGTCTTATTACAAGTGTTTAACCCTGCTGGAGTGCCCTTCTTAGACAAAACCTCCACCCACTTCCACTGGGATGTTTGCCTTCATAGGGAGGTGTAGGACTGGATGCACAGGATGAAGTTCTGATCTGCTTACTGAACAAAATATTCACTGCAGTCGGTTGTCTTTCAGTATGTAAGAAATAGGCTCCAAAGTTTCCCTTTTAATGGTACTTCTCTTCAGCCAGTGCAGCAAAGTGTAAAGACACGTTGAGTGGAGTAGTGATGTACCCATTCGCTGCCTGGCTGAGAAATGCGGCATTTGGGAGGTTGGTGTTCTGCCTGGCCCAGCTAAAGAATATTAGCTTCCTTTGGCAGTCAGAATATGTTTTGATGCCATTGGTATTGCTCGTTTGTGCTGCAGTAAGAGGTACATTAGGATACATAAAGTCAGTATCTAGCTGTTTAATCTCTGTGAAATGAGGATGGCGTCAGCGCAATGGCCATGTTTTTATACTTCGTAGGATTTGCAAGTAAATCGCTACGTGTAAAAACGTAACGGAGCAAAATCACTGTAGTTGCTGACCTGTTTTTTTCTGCCTGTGTAGTTTAGAATGGCAGTTGCTTTTTTGACTAAATGTTAACGTATGACAATATTTAAGGAGTGACTGATACTTTTATACTAATTACTCTAAAGAATTCAGATTCATCAGGGCAAAAAGAGGGCTCCATGTACTTGAAATCAGACAGCAGGAGATTCAGAGTTGGCCCAGTGCTTCTAATAAGCTTCAGAATAAACTCAGAAGGTTTTTTACAGATTACTGCAGAAAATTCTGCCATATTCTCTCTTCATATTTTCCATGGTAGGACGATTTCTGTAGGATAGGAATCATTATTTTCCACAGGATATTAAAAAAAACCAAGCTCTTAATTAGTAACAATGTGTACTAAAAAAAACCCAAAACCTTAACTAGCTAATACTCACTAAAAGTACAGTGGCAGACTGTAAGAGTAGCATTTTTAGTTTCCAATTAACTTGAAGGCAAACATCCCAGTGGAAGCGATGGAGGTTTTGCCTCATCTACAGTCATTGAAACATGCCAAGTATTCTTTGACTTCAGTTACAGCTGAAGATGGCCGTTTTAACGACCAGACCTTCAAGATCTGGGACTATTAATAGCTCTGTCGCTGATTTACATACCAGTTTCATGACAGCAGTGAGGTTTTTCTCATTTGCCAAAGAGTAAATGTCGAAAGCTGGTACAATTAAAAATGCAGCCTCTTCTGACACTTGCAAAACCTTTTTTATGCAGTATTTCTTTAGTTTAGGCTGCATGTAGGGAACAAAAAAAGTAAAAAATATATAGAAATATATAGTGATGGAAGTTTTACATGTCAGCAACACACCCAGATACGATTGATTGGACTTAACCTTGCACACTTCACTAACGCAGAACTAACATAAGCTACGGACTCTGGCTGAGCACACCAGTGAAGTGAGGATTACTTGTGATTTCACCATTGTGTACAAACCATGAAGAATTCACATGAAATCATCTCATTTCAGTGCTCACATATTTATAGGTGTACAAGTCCCATTTTCACTGTAAAACCTCATCTATTGAAAGGGACCTAGGATTTAACACTTCAACGCAGATTTCTAGGTGGATGGCCTTTGTTGCATGCTTGCATCTTTCTGCCTCTCCTTTCCATCGCTCATAGCAAAATGTTGTTGTAAGCCACGTGACTGCCTGCCTGTAAGTGCTTTAAGTAATTTTGTTATAAAACCCGAACAAACTACTTCAGATTTACTTGCAGCCACGAAGATGGAATTCCGCGTCCAGGAGGGCACATGCCCTTTCACAGCAGAACCATTAGACACAAAGCAACGTGAATCTGGGAAAGACAGTAAGACTGGTGAGCAACCTAAACATGATGCCTTAGTTCCACAGCCAGCAAAACCAGAGGCTGTAGATAAAAGTGATTCACAGAGCAAAGACAAAGAAAAAATGCCTTCACCTCTATCAGCACTCGTCTTGGAAGCTGATTCACAGAAGAAGGGGGAAGTCGGTTTTGCAGAACTTGCTGCCAAGCCTCCTCAAGAACAAAAGGACTTGTCATCTGAACTGCCTAAAGGCAGCACAACGGAAGAAAGGACTGCAGATGTGCCCTCATCGTCCAGCCAAGTTACATCTATGACATTTAAAGACGACCTTAAAGATGTCCACAATCTTGCCGTCAGCCATGGTGAAAGTTCTCTGTTGCTATCTGAACCCAAGGCAGAAGCAGCCAAAAGTGAAATCCCTTCAGGCCTATCTCCCGCTGTCTCCCAGGAGCTTCCCCTCAAAGACAGTTCCAAAACAAAACAGGAAAGCACTGACCAACTGTTTGCCAAAGACTTCACTAAAGATGATCCGATCCACAGAGACAGGACGCTAGCTCTGCAGGAAGCCTCGGCGGTAACTGTAGATGGCCTGAAAACACCAAGCACCCAGAAAATCCCTGCGTGGGGGGAGGAAAAGGACATGACCAAGGATGAGAGTGATGAAGAAGAAAGGTATGACTTCTATGATAAAGGGGAGGCTCGAATATTAGATGATGGCAAATTTACCTCAAAACCTGAAGTTAAGACGCTTTCTGCAGACAAAGCAGACTTTCAAAAGGATGACGAAGCTAAAAAGTCACCTGATAGTCTCAAAACAGAAAAAGGAATGGACCAAATTGGGCTCCTAGCAGCAACAGACATGAAAAAGGAGGTGCAGCCAAGCACACAGGTACCCCCAGCCAAGTTAAGCCCTGAACTGACCTTTGAGAAAACAGCAGAGCATCCTGATACCACACAGTTATCCAGAATAACAGAGAAAGCCGCTGAGATGCCAAGCTTAACCGCTGACAAAATTCCTACTCTAGAACCTCCTCAAGAGAAAGATGCTAAAAAAGATACCAAGGAGGATAAGGCAAGTGTTTCAGCTCCTAATCAAATGAAAGAGGAGGAGGATAGATCAGGAATGTCGAAGTACTTTGAAACCTCTGCTCTGAAAGAGGAAGCCTTCAAAGCAGACGCTCTGAAACAGGGCAGCGATTACTATGAGCTAAGTGACACTAAAGAGAGTGTGTATGAACATTATCAGACAGATCGTCTGATACCTGAAGACAAAGAGGAGGAGGAGGAAGAAGAATTGCAGACAGAACTGGATGAGCGTCAGAGTGTACCTGCTCGTGAAATAGGGTACAGTACCCTGGCTCAGAGCTTTACACCAGACAGGTCTGAAGAACTGAGTTCCCCGACAGAAAGGATGTTCACTATTGATCCCAAAGTCTATGGGGATAAGAGAGAACTCCACAGTAAAAATAAAGATGACCTAACTCTGAGCAGGAGCCTGGGGCTTGGGGGGAGATCTGCAATTGAACAGAGAAGCATGTCTATTAACTTGCCCATGTCCTGCCTGGATTCAATAGCTCTGGGCTTTAGCTTTGGTCGCGCACATGATCTTTCTCCCCTCGCTTCGGATATTCTGACTAACACTAGTGGAAGTATGGATGAAGGTGATGACTACTTGCCAGCAACTACACCGGCAGTGGAGAAGGCCCCCTGCTTCCCCATTGATAGTAGAGAGGAAGATGAGCACATAGAAGAAGAAGAAAAAGCACCGGCAGAAGAAAAAGTCCAGCCTGAGACCTTGGCCGAATCACCTTTCCTGGCCAAAGACTATTACAAAAATGGGGCTGCCCTGGCTCCTGACCTGCCTGAAATGTTAGACTTAGCAGGGACAAGATCTAGATTAGCCTCCGTGAGTGCTGATGCTGAGGTGGCACACAAGAAGACAGTTCCTTCCGACACTGTTATGGAAGACAGCGGCGCAGCCCTGCCACCGGTGACAGACGAGAACCATGTAACTCTAAAAGCTGAAAGTCAGCTAGAAGACTTGGGCTACTGTGTTTTCAATAAATACACAGTCCCACTCCCTTCCCCAGTTCAGGACAGTGAGAATTTAACGAGCGAAACCTGTCCCTTTTACGAAGGGACAGATGAAAAACTGCGGCGTGGCCTGGCTCCTGACCTGTCCTTAATAGAAGTGAAGCTGGCAGCAGCTGAAAAGTCGAAAGAAGAATTCCTCGGTGAAAAAGACTTAGGTCAGCATGCCACTGGAGAGTCCGCTCTGGCAAGAGACTTTGAGCAGGAGAAAAAAGAAAAGCTGGATACTGTGCTAGAAAAAAGTGAAGATCAAGTTGACTCTAAAGAGGTCTGTCCCATTAAAGGTGCAGAGCCAGAGAAGACAAGACCTGAGGCAATCCTAGAAATGAAAGAAGAAAGTGGGGCTGATAAGGTTCATATAACTGATGATAGTGTGTATGACAGAATACCAGCTTCAGAGATAACGATAGGAAAGGATGCTGTTTCTGTGTTGATGGAGAAGGAGAAGACTCTTAGTGTTGTTCCTGAAATAGCAGAGATAGAAGCTCCAATAAAACCAGATTACAATGCCATAAAGCATGATTTGGAAGTGGCTGCAAGGAGAGCTGACCAAGAATATCAGAGTCAGTTAGATGCCAAGGTCAGTGAGGTGGTTTCTCTCCCGTCAGGGAAGGACAAAGCCTCTGTTAAAAGAGCAGAGCCTGAACCCAAAGACACTCCACAGAAAGATGAGACCATCTTGTCCAGAGAAGCAAAGGATGCAGATGTACTCTCCAAGATCGAGCCTAGTTACGTGAAGGACAGCACCAAACTGTCAGAAACAGAAATTAAGGAAAAAGTAACTAAGCCCGATCTGGTACATCAAGAGGCAGTTGATAAAGAGGAATCGTATGAATCTAGTGGAGAGCATGATCAAGCCCAAGAAGGTTTGAATGGAGAATCCTTGAAACCAGAGGATACCAAAGCAGAGCCTCCAAAACCTCCTGTGTCTGGGGAAGAGACGCCTGCACAGTTACCAGCAAAGGAGCCTTCCGTGGAGCTCTTCCTTCCAAAAGCTGAGCCTCTCCAGGAAGAGCCTGCTGAGATTCAGATGGAGAGCATACCACAGCCTGCAGAAGAAACTGCAAAGATTCCTGATACAGCCGCGATACCTATGGAAATCCAAAAGCTCCTGCCATGTGAAGTGTCAGCTGGGGCCACAAAAGGGGAAGAACATGAGGAAGAAGAGGTAGAAGGAGGGCAAGAACAAAAAGAGGAGGATAAAGAGCATCTTCTATCAGAAATGCCCCCCGAAATGGACTTTGGGAAGCCTGCTGCTGAAGAAATGCTAGCCCAGGGTAGCCCAGAAGCACTGCCTGAACTGAAAGGCATTATTGAGTCAGTGGTGACAGTAGAGGATGACTTTATCACAGTGGTGCAGACAACAGTTGATGAGGGTGAGTCTGCTTCTCACAGTGTCCGCTTTTAAGACATCGAAACAGGGGACTCCCAGGCTGAGGAGGAGATGGAGGTTGAGGAAGTGGCTGAGATGCAAGTTGAGCCCAAAGAGGGCTCCCCAGAAGCTCCTGCTTCACCCCAGAGAGAAGAAATCCTGCTCACCGACTACAAGACGGAGACGTGTGATGATTACAAAGACGAAACAACAATCGATGACTCCGTCATGGACACCGACAGTCTCTGGGCAGATACTCAAGGTGTGCATTATCCTTTCTGTTTTGTCTGTTAAATATTTTTACTTCCAAATCATAATGATCAAAAAAAGCGAAATTATTATATATAAAATTAGTAATCTCAGCATGCTTCAGAAAAATGGTAAAATAGCCTGCCTTTTTTTATTAATCCATCTGCTCGGTCTTCAACTATTTTTTTTTCTCTGGTCCACTGCAGTATTGTTAACATTTGTTACTAATCTCTTGTTTGTTGTTATAATTTGCTCTGATCCTACAGATGATGATAGGAGCATCATGACTGAACAGTTAGAGACTGTTCCTAAAGAGGAGAAGGCAGAGAGAGAATTGCGAAGATCATCTCTCGATAAGCATAAAAAAGAGAAACCTTTTAAAACTGGGAGAGGCAGGATTTCTACTCCTGAAAGGAAAATAGCTAAAAAGGAACCTAGCACACTCTCCAGAGATGAAGTGAGAAGGAAAAAAGGTTCATTTAACACTCCCTATTACAATCTATACTTTTTTTTAAAGTTTTTTTTACTGCTGTACGGTACTATCCGGTCACCCTATAGATGACGTGCCCCTTAACAGCGTTAACGGTCGTGCTTTTTAATGAGACATTGTACAACTATATGAAAAGCCAGGTGCAAGGCTCACTGCTCCACCGGTCCCCTTTCCCCACTGATCACTGGGTAACACATCTGGGTTAATGCACCAGTGCTCCCCCTCTTCCGACTCCGGAATTGTTCGCCCCGGTAGAAGCGACGCATGGGGTTGCAGTTGTGGAGCAGTGGGCCTGCCACTTGATGTATTGTCATATGAAACTGTTTGTTGGTTTGTTTTCCTGATTCTATGTTTTTGTGTTTTCTTGTCCATAGCAGTGTATAAGAAAGCTGAACTTGCTAAAAAAACTGAAGTTCAGGCCCACTCTCCCTCCAGGAAAATCATTTTAAAACCTGCTATCAAATATACTAGACCAACTCATCTCTCCTGTGTTAAACGGAAGCAGACAGGTGACTGCGTTCTGTTCAGTTATGCAATGTGGCTGGCAAACATAGACATTTTTTTTTTAAATCTCATGGCTATAGCAGCTTCTCTATTTATTTTTTTTCTTCCAAGAATATCAGTCTTCACAAATAGTATTGCTTTTTTAGTGGGTTTGGTTTGGTTTGGGGTTTTGGGGGTTTTTTTTAGTTTTATATAATTTTTCTTTTCTTCTTTCATTCCTGGTATTCGTGTGTTTATTTTAATGGAGGCCATGATCATGTGTGCTTGTCGTTGCTTGGACCTCCTAGTGTTGTGGTTGTAACTTGGCATCGTGCTTACAGTGTGGTGTTGTAGGAATCTCTACTCATCATTTTGTTCTTTTTTTTTTTTTTTTCCAATTATGCCGTTTTGGTTTGTGGTTTTGGTTTTTTTTTTTTTTCTGGTGGGAAAATGTTGACAGCTTAAACCATCGTATGCACTTCCATTATTTTGCTTTTGTACTCTGATGCATAATAAGAAGTGTTTCAGACTTATATTTTGTTGATTGATGTTATCTGCATTGACACTTCCAAATCTGTCACTGATGTTTATGCTGTACAGTCAAAATCCACAGGGGGAATCCAGCCACATGCAGCATGAAGCTGAGAGAGAAGAAATCTGGGCTCACACTACGAACGCATTCCAAGCAAAAATCTTAATGTTTGGTAGAGGACGTTGAAAGGACGAAACAAATGATGCCTGTGTTACATCCTGATAGGTGTATCATTATTTAGAGGACCAAAAATAACACCTTCAGTGTTTTCATCCTATTACTTTTTGTTACTGTGAGTTCAGGGTGGGAAGACACACATCTTAACTTTTCTGGTAATCTTTTAAAATAAAAATAGTCGCCGAAAGAGGCCGGGTTTTGTGTCACGTAACACAGCCGCACGCTGCGGTGCAGCCGTTCGTGGGTGAAACTAGGGCTGGTAAGAGAATAACTGTGCGCAGCAAGGCGGAACTTGGTGGGCCTCTTCTTGTGGCTTAGAAACAAAGAACAGGATTCATTGCCCATCCTGTAGTTGAACAGTGCAACACCAGAATTTTTCCCAGGAAGTCGCTCCCATCCCGTCTTGCAGCGACAAGTCTCTCCTGTTCTAAATTGGGACCGGTCTCAGTATGGAGGTCTGACCAGTGAAAATACAGTAACAGCATAGTTGGGCAAGTGTAGCTTTAATGCCGTGCCTCAACTCTGTGTCCTGCTCTGTTAGGACAGCAGAACTCAACACTCGCTTCCATTGCCTTGCTCCTGTGAGGGAATCTGGCGCATTTTTCTGGAGAGTGGATAGAGAGCAGC